ATGTCTGGCCGTAGCAAAAATCTTCATATCCAGCGTTCCCCAGACACCAGTGTGCCTTTAGGCTATGACTCCAACCCTGCCCAGGTCCAAGCCTGGCTAGAGGCCAAAGGATTCAGCCCACTGTGAGTTGACGTCTGTTTCTTTTGGAAACCATTTTGAGTTGGCCTTATGGTCTGAGCACACTCCTTTACCTGCCTTCCTGGATTTTCTGCTTTTTCATTTCTCGTTGGTGCCTGTAGGTCTTTCTGCACATGAGCCAGTCATGAGGCCTACACAAGCCAACTTGTCCTGCCCAGTTTTCCAAATTCCCAGGCACCTGACCGCTCTTGAGTGGCTTTCTGGTTGACCACCACATGAGGCATCTCCAACTTTCGGATATTGCAGCTTCTATTTTGCCATCTCTCCGTTGCTAGCGATGGGGTCTTCTCCAGTACTGATGCCAAATTTGAGGCTTGGAGAAATATATCTGCCCAGATTAGATTTTCCCGGTTGGCTACTGCTGGGGCCTCCCTGCTTTCTCATTGGCCAGTGCTAGTTTGTGAGATTCTAAAGAGGCCCTCTTTGCTTAGTGTCAATTCTGACAGCTGGTACAAACATTTTGCTTTTCATCTGTCCAATCCTCTGCCTCTGTATGTGCAAGTCAAGTTTTGTTTCTATTCCATGTTTCTGTTTGCGTGTAAATGGCTGGCAGTCCCTTTCTCCCTGCGTGACTCTCTCTACCCTTCCGGCCTTCTTTTCCTCTCCCAGGACTGTAAGTGCCTTGGGGGTTCTGAATGGAGCTCAGCTCTTCTCCTTGCAAAAAGAAGAATTCAAAGCCGTCAGCCCAGAGGAAGGAGCTCGGGTCTACAGCCAGGTTACAGTCCAGAGAGCCCTCCTGGAGGTACTGTAACTCTCAGGTCTTGGAAGCTAAGCAGGGTTGACTCTGGCAAGTACTTGGATGTAGGGTTGCCAAGTCCCCGCTGTATGTACAGCGGGGGACTCCAGCACCACTCCGGGAGTGCGCGCGCCGCAACCACGTCACCCGGAAGTGATGCAACCACATCGGGCACGCCGGGGGCGGGGCCACAATCATCCAAGGGAAAACCATAGAGTTTTCCCTCGGATGACCGCGGACCTGCCCCCAATGCACCCGATGCGACTGCATCACTTCCGGGTGACGTGCTGACACCGGGCATGTCGCGTGCTTTGGGGGTGGGGTTCCCCCCGGGGCCCGATCCGCCGCCGGTGGGTAATGGGCCTCTGGGGTGGGGGTTTCCCCACCCCCTGGGGGGACTTGGCAAGCCTACTTGGATGGGAGACCTCCTTCGAATACCAGAGGCAGGAGGCGGAGGCAGGCCTTATTCAGCCACCTCTCTGAATATCCTCCAAAAGAGTCTAGTGGGTTGCAGCAAACACACCAGGAACAATGGGGGTGTGGACAAGCCGGAAAAAGGCTGATTTTCCACAACACTGGAGTTCCTCTTATGTGTAGCATAGTCCATTACAGAGCGATTGGGGTGTGGAAGGGTTGATCCTTGCACGAAGGGCAGTGTTCATTCATTTTCTTCTTCTTCTAGGATTCTGGGAAAATATCAGAGCTGGAGGCAGTGATGGAGAGGCGGAAAAGGAAAGTAGAGGGCATTTGACTGGCTAGAGACCTCCCAAATACCAATGCAAGAGTGCCCTCTGCAGGAAACCTGAGGGACTGCATGGTAACAGGCTCAAAAGAACGTTACAATTCAATACATCACCTGTTTCTCACTCCACATCCACCAGCATCCATTTAATTAAGCCAAATGTTTTCCATTGAATTCACGTTTACTTCTTATCTTCTTGAAAAGGACAGCTCTCTCCAGTTATAACCCGGCGTTCCTTTTTGAAATCTACATCATGGAGCAGCCTCGTAACTCCCCCTCTCTCTTCCCAGCGGAAAAAGTAGGATGACCGCACCATCTGCCTCTTGAAAAATGGAAGATATTTATATTGTATTTATTTCCTCCTGTTGCAGAATTAAATACTGTTTGTGCCATTCCAAAAAAAAAAATGCAAAAGTTTGTAACCATTTCAGTTCAACTTTCCCTGCTGCATCCAGCAGATATCCATAGAAAATGTTGGCTCAAATCGAATTTATCTCCAACTATGCACATTCCTATTGTTACATTCATATTTACACATATAAGTTACCTCTTACTAACTCAGACCATTGATCCTTATAGCCCAGTATCATTTAGTCTGGCCGGCAGTGGCTGTCCGGAGCGTCGTCAGAGAGCGAGCGGGCACATAGATCTGCCCAGGGGTCATTTCGTAGAAAAAGAGCTAGGGGAACTCATTAGCATAACTCATTAGCATATGCCACACCCCCTGACATCAGGGGCCCGGCGGTGGACCTGTAAGGCCAGCGGGAGTGCAAGGAAGCCCTGCCAAGGCCCTCCCTGGCCCCAGGCAGGGGTGGGGAGAGGAGGGGAAGAAGCAACTTACCTTCCCTCTTCTCCTGCTTCCTCCTGGCTGAATGAGGGCTGGAAGCGGGGCGGCCGGAAGCAGGGGGCGGGGCTTCGTCATGTGCCCCGCCCCCCTGCACCTCACCCGGGGGAACTGTGTTCCCCCACGTTCCCCCCCGAAATGACCTCTGGATCTGCCTTATACTGAATCAGATTGTTGGTCCATCAAGGTCAGTATTGTCTACTCAGACTGGCAGCTGCTCTCCAGGGTCCCAGGTAGAGGTCTTTCACATCACCGGCCACCTTAACCTTGTTACTGGAGATGCTGGGGATTGAACCTGGGACCTTCTGCATGGTAAGCAGATGCTCTACCACTGAGCCATTGCCTGCCCCTGAGAGAGAGAGGTATCTCCCAACATCCACACCTTGATATCCTTTAACTGGAAATGCAGGGGATTGAACCTGAAACCCCAGCACATGCTCTGTCACTCAGCCACTCTTCACTGCTTTCTCAGTTCTTTACTTAAATTAAGCCCTGGCTACTGTTACATATGTTGCGCTGCATCATGGGTTTTGTAGTTGTAAATCAGCATAAAGATAGTCATCGTTGTACATAGGTATTTGTTCAAGGTCATAACGTTTGCAGTCATGGTTCCAGCTCCATCTTCCATCAGTACCGGGTAGCAGCTTCTGATGACCTTGCTAAGCAAAGTTATCTCTACACCCTGTTTTTCTCCACTTAGACTTAGTTGAGAAAAAAATAAATAAGAGGCATCTGTGAAACTTCAAGCTTCAAACTCTTCCATTCCAGGAATAATGTTGGGAGACTGGTGTAAAGCAGCTGGACAAAATCATGCATCCTACTTAAAGAAGCGGAGCTGCGGTGGCTCAAGTGGTTAAGACACTGAACTGCAGGCTGTGGAAGGTCAGTAGTTCAGCAGTTCGAGACCTGGGTGCCGCATGATGGAGTGAGCTCCCATCTCTAGTTCCAGCTCCTGCCAACCTAGCAGTTCGAAAGCAAGAAATTGCAAGTAGATAAATAGGTACCACTTCGGTGGGAACATAACAGCGTTCCGTGTGCCTTGGTGTTTAGTCATGCTGGCCACATGACCACGGAAACGTCTTCGGACAGCGCTGGCTCTTCGGCTTTGAAACGGAGATGAGCACCACAACCTTAGAGTCGGATTCGACTGGCTTTCAAGCAAGGGAACCTTTACCTTTTTACTTAAAAGAAGCGCAACTTCCGAGGTGGAAGTTGCTATTGAGTAATACCACTTGTAGCCACGAGGTGGCAGGCACTATTTGAAGCAAACCAAGACATTTGTGCTTAAAACGTTTCTTGAAGGAATGCCCTTTCCCCACTTTTGCCTGTATGAATTCTTCGCCAGGTTTTTAAGAGTTTGGCCTGAAAACTTCCCTCTCACCATGTGTGTTTTTGAGAGCAAAAAAATCCCTGAATCTGCTGCTTTCCAGAGAGGCTCTTGTGCAATAGAGTAGGGCATTTCATTTTCCCCCCCAAAGAAAACTTTTGTGTGTGTCAGGTTTCATCATTTATGCCTTGCAGTTTCTTCGTTATGGTGGGTTTGGGGGAGAGGTCAGGAATTTAACTGGGAGGATCTTCCCCCCCCAGCACTTTTTCACAAAACCTGGGGAAAGGCACTCTGCTTTGGAGCTCTTTCCGACTTTTAACCATCTCCTTTCCCGCTTCCTGGGATGGACAAATAAAACGGAAAAGAACCATAAAGTCAGAAAATTGCTCTTTTAATGAGTCAGTCAGAGGGAAGCTTCTGGGAACCCTAACTGCGAACTACAATTCCCAGGAGCAACAAGTCTTAAAGATACAGCGCAGTTTTACTAAACTACAGATAACGCTGACTGGGGGCAGCACACTGGTGTTTAGAATACTACCCGTTGATCGTTTGCCCTCTGTTGTGATGAACTCTGACCCAAATTGCCTGTTACTGATTCCCTCTCCCCCTGAAGTATTTATTTTTAAAGCATATTTATATTAATTGAATCTTGGCTGCTATATTTTGTAAATGACTTTTCTTTTTTTGCTGTATCCTAATTCTGACAGTACCCTTAAAGCAGAGCAGATGCTAGGGTTGCCAACTGCAGGTTGGGAACTTCCTGGAGATTTGGGGGTGGAGCCTCAGCAGGGGCTGGACCTCAGCAGAGTGTCATTCCCTAGACTCCATCCTCCAAAGCAGCCATTTCCCCCAGGGGAACTGATCTCTGTCATCTGGAAATCAACTGCAGTTCTGTCAAGAATGCCCCTGTCTAAATCAATGGCGTGGCCTCATTTGTAATACTGTGTACAGTTCTGGTCACTGCACCTCAGAAAAGGTATCATAGCACCGGAAAAGCTGCAGAAATGGACAACGAAAACGATTAAAGGGATGGAACCCTCTCCCTATGAAGAAAGGTTAAGGAGGTTAGGGCTCTTCGGCTTGGAGAAATGACGACTGAGGGGTGACAGAGAGGTTTACAAAATTATGCACCGGCTAGAGAAGGCAGAGAAAGAAGTACTTTTCTCCCTTTCTCACGGTTATAAGAACTCATGGGTGCTCAATGAAATTAATGAGCAGTAAGTGGTTAGGACGCTGAACTGCAGGCTGTGGAAGGTCGGTAGTTCAGCAGTTTGAGACCTGGGTGCCGCATGATGGAGCGAGCTCCCATCTCTGGTTCCAGCTCCTGCCAACCTAGCAGTTAGAAAGCAAGAAATTGCAAGTAGATAAATAGGGACCACTTCGGTGGGAAGGTAACAGCGTTCCGTGCGCCTTGGTGTTTAGTCATGCCGGCCACATGACCACGGAAACGTCTTCGGACAGCGCTGGCTCTTCTGCTTGGAAACGGAGATGAGCACCGCAACCCTAGAGTCGGATTCGACTGGTTTTCGAGCAAGGGAACCTTTACCTTTACTTTTACAGAGCCTCCATTTAGTGCTACCAAAAGTCCTTCATTTGCATTTTTAAAAGACAACAGTTAAGCAATTACCAGAAGGAAGTGGTGGCAGCTACAAGCATCGGCAGTTTCAAGAGGGGAGTGGATAGACGCATGGAGCAGAGGTCCCTTAGTGGCTATTAGCCACAAGTTATAGATGGAACACTATGTCTGGGCCAGTGATTTTCTGTATTCTTAGTACTTGGGGGGCAACAGTGGGAGGGCTTCTGGAGTTCTTGGCCCCACTGGTGGACCTCCTGATGGCACCTGATTTTTGGCCACTGTGTGACACAAAGTGTTGGACTGGGTGGGCCACTGGCCTGATCAAACATGGCTTCTCTTATGTTCTGATGAATTATCTGACGGTACTGAAAAAGTGGAACTAGTGTGTTTGAACCCTTTACCTTAATGATATTTGGGGGTTGGGTTATTCAGGGGTGGCAAATGCCAATGTACTATGTACTCAAATCTGATATTAGAGAAAGCTTTGTTTGATCAGAACGCGCACATTACGGTTAATCAATACTTGCAAATGTAATCGTGGGTTTATTGTCCATACTCCCTGAGATGCCCAGCTGCTGGTCTTTGTGCTAGAGGGTCCATGAGGGGAGCTCCACATAGCTGCCACTTGTGGGTCTATCATTTACTGAGGAAATTAACTGTATAAAGCTGTGTAAATAAAAATGATGCAAACTTGATGTGGCTGTCTTTGCTAGCGCACATTCGCAGTTATCGCCTCCCTGAGCATGGAACGAGTTGACTTCTCTGCAAAGGCAATGGGGGAGGGACCGCCTTCCGTACGAGCTCTTCTACCTCTCCAGAACCACTAAATTCCTGGAAAACATAACAGTTAATTGAGCTTCCTCAGCATATGCTGAACCACACTATTTGTTGTTGTTGTTCAGTCGCACAGTCAAGTCCGACTCTTCGCGACCCCATGGACCAGCTCCCGCCAGGCCTTCCTGTCTTCCGCCGTCCTCTGAAGTTGGCTCAACTTCATGTTCGTTGCATCTATGACACTGTCTAACCATCTCATCCTTTGCCGTCCCAGTCTTCTTTGGCCTTCAGTCTTTCCCAGCATCAGGGTCTTCTCCAGTGAGTGCTCCCTTCTCATTTGGTGGCCAAAGTATTTGAGCTTCAGCTTCAGTATCTGGCCTTCCAGGGAACAGTCAGGGTTGATTTCTTTTAGGATTGACTGATTTGTTCTTCTTGCAGTCCAAGGGACTCTCAAGAGTCTTCTCCAGCACCATAATTCAAAAGAATCTATTCTTCGGCGCTCGGCATTATGTAGTAGTTCAAAGTTTGAGTTTAGTGGCACCTTTAAGACCAACAATGTTTTATTCACGTTGTAA